TATATATATATATATATATAATATATAATATATGTAATATATTATGTATATATATATATATATATATATATATAATATTACATTTAAATAGTAATATAATAAAACATTTACTAAATTTAAATTAGCGACTAACAAAACAGACATTTAAAATTTATATTTAAAAGCAATTTTTATTTTTATCATAAGTATTAAACTTAATTAAAATTTAAAGAATTTAGTTGTAACGAAAGCAAATAACTCTAATCATCTCAGTATAACTTAATTAGTCAAGAAGATATAAAAATACGACCCCTGTTTGACCCTATGAATAGTTTTCATTTTGCATTAATGAAAAAAAAAGCTCAAATCATATACAAAGTAAAAAAAAAAAGAGAAAAACACCGGAAACGAAAATACGTTCAAGTTAAAGCGAATCTTTGCTATCCATCGTCACCTAAGGTCCAACATATTTGGAATTTTCATCCAATTCATTATACATTTAGCAATGCGACGGCGTAAACGAACGGTTTAGCTTATGAATTAGAACAGTACTTACTCTAGTCACTAGTCGTAATATTTCGACGAAGCCGATCGCATATTCCTATTTATGTAAAATTTCCCGCTAAAATGTTATGCACAATAATAGTTGTGTGACAGCCAGTTCTTTAATCAAGTTTATTAATTATATGCTTAAAGAATGCTAAGAAGAAGAATAAATATTTCTTATGCATGCACGCATAGAATAGAATAGGAGCTGACTAGGCTCATATGCTTTTCAATATACTTCATATGGTTCGAGGTGATCAGCATATTTATGCGATACTTCCATCACATGCATGTATATATATACACATGTGCTCTATATATTATTGCCTTCGCGATGAGATAAAATCTTTTAACATTCATATAAGAGTTAAGTGTTATCTAAGATTAGGGTGAAAGTCAAAACGGGACTTTCTTCTATATGAAAACGCTGCCTTACAAACAATTTTAATTATAAGTATGAATACTTTGTAGGGGAATTGAGTTTTATGATCTCTTAAGCAATACGTTGCTTAATAAAGTTCTACGCGATTATCTACACGATTTGATCGAACTCGAATAGACCTTCTGGTGGTGATGTGTCTAAAAGCAATAGTAGAGGGTGAAAGCTCCTCAGCAGCAGGAGTGCAATTAAGGTGCACTTTAAACTTCATTATCAAATAACAGCAACAACAAGAACAACATCTTGAATAAAGATGAAACCAAAAACAATTAATAAATAAACAAACAAATAAAAGAAAAGTTAATATAAAATAGGGTCCAATATAAATTCAACAAAAACAGTATATTAAAAAAAAAAAAAAAAGAAAAGAAAGAAACACACACATACATACATACAAATACTTTAATTGTTTGTAAAATTAATGCAGACATCCAAAGGAATTTAGCAAAATAAATGGCGAGACTCCATATATAGAAAAAAAACGTCCATTCACGCATAGAGTTTAGGAATCTTTCATTACAAATACTCTTCGTCTGCCAAACAGATTCAATATTCCATTTAAGTTTTTTCCATTTTATTATTTTTTTTTTTGGCTTTTTTTTTTAGTCCATTGAAAAGACGACTCTTGCAAATCAATTACTTTAAAGAGAAACAATATATAAAAATCAATAGCCGCCATTTTGATCGTTAATTAAATTTATCGACAAGTAGCCGGACGGATGACAAGTTTTATGAAATTTTATGCGACGAAAACGAAAAAAAAATAAATAAAAAAATATAAAAATAAAAAAAATAACGAGAAAATGTACTGCAATAATATTAACAGCAGTAAAAGCACTCTTTGATAAAAAAAACAAAGAATATATATATATATATATATATATATTTCAATTCGAAGAAATTATTTCAATTATTTTAATAAATAAAACATGTTTAATCTACCAGTATACACAGTTAAACAAACCAAAAGAAAAAAAAAAAAAAAGAAGAAATTATAGTTAATAGAGAATTAATAACGATTGACATTTTAAAACATATCACAAGGACAATACTTAAGGTAAAAATGAAATTAATATAGTTATACATAAAAATTAAAAACAAAAAAAAATACAAAAAAAAATACAAAAAAAACACGCTATACATTTTTAACATAAAATTTAATTAATTTATAAACGCTAGGCTATTAACGTCACGTATACATGCATACACACAATACACATAACGTTGCTCTTTATTTATTTTTGCCGATTCTATTCATTATTTAAGTTGTGCGAGCGAAAAAAATAAATAAATAATAATTTTTATGCTTTTCACATGAGTGATTCACTTTGCTAAATATGATGGCAAACGATTATTAATTTTCATCATTAAGTTTCTCTTTTGTTTTTTCTTATTGAAATAATTCTTCTCACTTTTTTTTTACTATACGGAAATTAATATCTATACACATCATCTATTCATTGATTGTGTATTCGTGTACAAAATAGATTTGAGATTTACAATGAAAAATGTAAACAATCCTTATTTTTTTGTCATGGACACCAATACGAGGCATCTTAGGCCATGTTGTTAGGCATTTCTCAAAGACATCCAATTCCTTTAATATGCACTCGAATAATATCTAACAAAGTCAGACTCTTTTATCATCATCGTCACAATCATCATCGTCCTATATATGTATAGTCGCCATAACCTCTTCATTCGTTACACTTTTGTGTACATCATATACGGATTTTCATATTCCGCGATATTCTCACCTTAACCACAGGTAAAAGTGTGGTAAATGAAATATTACATTGAGACATTTCAAGTTTAAACGAAACGAATTTCACAACATTACCTTTACGAAGAGAAGACTTAAGCTTAAGAAAGAGAAATTAAAAGGATGTACGAAAGTTCATTAAATTTCAAGGAGACCTCTATGCAAAGCTATTTACTTAAAGTCTCTCATCCTTAATAGCTCGTACGCTGCTAAATAAAAGTAAGGAAACTTTTTACTTTGACTTAGCGCAGAACGTCGGCATGACGTCAATACACCTGGATTTACTGTTTGCCGAAAACGTCCATTTTATATATATATGTCTCTCACTTGGAAACCGTTTTTATATGGACATCAATCCTGAATATCATATATGTATTCTCGTCATCGACGAGAAAAGATTCAAAACTTTTAATTTGTTTCACTTAATCGACATACATATATATTCAATACACTATTTCTTCTGGCAATAATCATTTGCCTGGTAGATGGCTACGTTTGGTTAAACTTAACAATTCGTTAATATTCAATCTTAACTTTGATTTTAACATGACTCAGTTATTACTTATACAATTTTAAGAATATCGAGGATAAATATGGGAACTCAGCAAGGAAGCATTAATCAATTCTTCAACAGGGACTGCAGGGGCTTTGTTAATGTTTACTTGACCTATCTAATCAATCTTTTTCGTAAGACTATCCGTGAGAATATAATAAAAATCTTAACATTTATTTCATTTAAAAATCCATTAATTGTGAGGAGATTTGTGCGAAGATTACAACAGGACAACGAAAAGTACATACAAGGATTTAAACTTTTTCTATATTGACCAAAATCAATGAAAGAAATATCACTCTGCAAGCTTTCAACTAGAGTTATTGCTGTTTTCCTCTATAGTATATAGCTCAGCCTGTTAAAGTTAAAATGATTCATACACAAGATAAGAAAGTGACGTGAAATTCCATAGAAGAACTACTATCACATATCTGTTATGTGTATTTATAAAATTTTCTGGAATCACTCATGTGTAGTTAACAACTGAATGAAGTCGGTTAAAGTGTTTTATTTGCTCTTTTTCCCGTTATAAATTATTTTCAATTTTATTACTAAATATATATTTCTTAATTGTTAAAAGCTCAACAAATTATTGAAACTAAAAGCAATCCTTCAATTCGTAATTCTCTGAATTCGAAAGTTTGGCAATTAATATGTGAATTAAAACAATTTTTAAAAAT